CAGGGTTAGGCAGGGTTGTAGGTAGCTAGGGAAGGAGCAAGGTGGAAGTTACCCACAGACCACAGCTTCATAGATATAGACACCACCGTACAGGGTTAGGCAGGGTTGTAGGTAGCTAGGGAAGGAGCAAGGTGGAAGTTACCCACAGACCACAGCTTCATAGATATAGACACCACCGTACAGAGTTAGGCAGGGTTGTAGGTAGCTAGGGAAGGAGCAAGGTGGAAGTTACCCACAGACCACAGCTTCATAGATATAGACACCACCGTACAGGGTTAGGCAGGGTTGTAGGTAGCTAGGGAAGGAGCAAGGTGGAAGTTACCCACAGACCACAGCTCTACAGATATAGACACCACCGTACAGGGTTAGACAGGGTTGTAGGCTGTAGAGCTGTGGTCTGTGGGTAACTTCCACCTTGCTCCTTCCCTAGCTACCTACAACCCTGTCTAACACTGTAAGGATATAGACACCACCGTACAGGGTTAGGCAGGGTTGTAGGTAGCTAGGGGGTCTGTGGGTAACTTCCACCTTGCTCCTTACAGCTCTACCCCTAGCTACCTACAACCCTGCCTAACCCTGTACGGTGGTGTCTATATCTGGTCTGTGGGTAACTTCCACCTTGCTCCTTACAGCTTCATAGATATAGACACCACCGTACAGGGTTAGGCAGGGTTGTAGGTAGCTAGGGAAGGAGCAAGGTGGAAGTTACCCACAGACCACAGCTCTACAGATATAGACACCACCGTACAGGGTTAGACAGGGTTGTAGGTGTGCATAAGTACCATGGTTTCTAGCCACTAATTGCTATGTGAATGCACGATAGAAGAGTATTCACACATACGTACCATGGTTTCTAGCTCGTAGCCGGTGAAGAGAGACAGCAGAGGTACAGGCACGAGTCGGGCCATGCCCTCCCTGACGGCAGCCACTTGTGAATCAAACTCATGCAGTCTGCGGGGAAACACGCGGATACATGTAGTTACTAATACTGTGTTACTTCACACACATTACTGCAACATACACCCGCAACAGTACATGTGTTACTTCATACAGAAATATTAATGGTTCACGGTCATCTAAGCATGGTGTGCTTAACTAGATCACTCACCATCGCAATATTATAATATAATATTATAAATATATATATATGGTGGGCTGTAACGATACAGGCCTCTCGATTTCGATCCGGTTCTCGATATTAGCCCTCTCGCTTCGATTCCTTCGATTCGTCCCAAAATATTGAAATGTTGATTCTTATTTTTCTAATTATCATTATGTATGGCAATAAGATTATTAGAAAGTGCAAATGAATACTGATGGTGAATCGCTAGAGAGTCCTAGAGCGTATTGATATCATAGAGATGGTACGTATTGATACTCTCTATGGCAGGCAAAAAATCCATGGAGCGGGCGCCAGCGATTTCGCTGCCTCAGCTTTCATGAGACGCTCTGGGGTAACAGCAATTTCGAGCGCGAAAATTTTGGAAGCTACGGAAAAGCCTCCCGTGCCGACCGCGCGTTGACGACCGCGTTGCCTCAAGTGACCCAGGCTAGGCGTATCCAAAATCTAGAGCTGCATGAACTTCACCTCAACGCATGATTCGCCACAGAACCAAAACTGCGCGACAGTTCTAGAGAATCATGTGTTTTTTATCGCGTACAATAGTTATATATTCGCACGGGGGTTATTGTGGGGAGTTAGCGGCCGACCAGTGACAGGTGACACGCACGTAATCGAACGCTGTTTTCTGTATTCGTCAGTAGAAAGTGGGACTGTTTTTGATTAAGGTAGCTATTTTAGAAGAATGTAATGGATATCACTTGAACGATTTTCTAGGGCACGTTGGTAACTTTGGCGGTATGGTGCGTGGCGCATTGGATAGATCTATGCATTTGGTCCGGTTACCGTGGAGCTGGGAAAGAGAAAACGAAAGTAAAACCGTTACAGAAGCTGCCCCGACATTCTAGAGATTTTTGAACATTTGTTGACACTCTAATTTGGAAGTTTACATCAAGGGAGGCGTTGCCTAAGCCGCGTTAACTCAAGACCCTATTTGTCAATGTTTGTTTTTGTGTCAAATTTGTTATGCGCGTATGCTGTTTTGATTCCATATGGTTATTTGTATACTATGTTTGTTACTCAGCTGCTTAGTAATAGCTGCACCGAAACACTTTTTTGTGCCAGGTCCACCGATTCTGAAAGTTGAGTGCGGTCCTGCTGTCCACTAGCTTTTCAGTGCCGAAAGGTTCGAACCTGCGGGGTGCGGGTGGCTCGACAAACCGCGTTGCCGCCGTGGGCCCCGATGGCCCGGGCGAGACCAATTCCCCGCGGGGGGCAGGAGTAGCTTGACATTTGCACTTCCTGTCGGGCAATAGCATGGTTGGGTTTTTTTATTGAAGACGATATACGAGGATTGATTAAAAACAATGCGCATGATTGACATATCAGTGCATGCAGTCATACTTTGTTACACACATGATACGAGCAACAGGTTAAACCAGGCCTTCGTGTCGTTGTCCCATTAGGATAAGTCTGTGACCTGCGGTCGCATCTCGCCAAGCTGAATGCTTGACTTTTGTTTGGGAAACCGCTTTAACGATTATTAGACACAATTCTGCGCCTTCCTCTGAGACGTATTAGAGTCAGTGCCATCAAATTATGGAATTTTAACAAAATCATGCTATGAAAAAGTTAAGCTCTGCGCCAGCTTACAATAGCTCCCGGTAAACAAATACGACGAGCTCTTCTTTTATACAAATTCAGAAAAAGAGCTTCCGTATAAACAAGTAATTTTTTACCGGGCTGCTGTCTATGGTGATAGATCACTGCACAGTGCGCTGAGTAAGAATCCACAGTACTAGTAGCGTAGTGGCCGACATCTATTGGAGGAAAAACGTGGTATCGAACGTCGGATGCGCAACATCGGGGAAAAATATCGAGGATCCAGATCAAGGGAAGAGAATCTGGCGAATCCGATTCGATTTCGGTGGATCGTTACAGCCTAATATATTATAAATACTATATTATCTGTATATATATGTATATATATATAATTCTATAATATTACAATGCGGCACACCGATATTCACCACTCCTATAGTTCTAAACTGTAAATACTGTACGTTGGAGGTGTGTTGGATGTACTCGGCCGATCTGTCTTATTCTGGCTGTCGGTGCTAATGTAAGCATGTTTCGGTGCTAGGCTGCACCTCGGTGACGGACGTGCGCGCGTCGACTACTACGTCTCCATCGGGTCAGACGCTCTGCAATAGGGCTGAGAGTCCTCGTGGAACACGCCACAGAAATAACGCTTCTATTTAGGTCGAGGTCTTGATTTCTATATTTTAACGATAGATCATTCAGGTTGTTTATTTAATCAAGTCTATAACATAATTTAAGATCATTAAGATTGACATCAAGTTACGAATAATAATAGATATAATATTTTATAACACCAACAACACAGCAACACCAAACCAACAACACAACACAACAACAAACAAACAATACACGCAACAAGCAACAAAAATCATAATCATGACAAGCACAAAACACCGCTGCCACCACCACCCCCCACCACCACCACCACCAACAGACGAACAACAACAACCAACCAAGCCACACAATAATCATATACATAACTGACTACACAACACCTTGGACCGGTCTCCATGTCGCGTTGCACAGCAGGCCCGAAGGTACGTAGTCCTTGGTTCGGACCTCTGTCAAGGTCAGCAGGGGGGTCAGCTGCTTCCCGCCTAGCTGCCTTCCGACACGGGCTCGGTAGGTTGGAGGCCGATAGGAGCGGGCTGCAGTGGATCGCGACGGATGCCCAATTCAACCTTGCCTGCGTCGGGTTAAACACCGGTTACCATGGTGAGGCTAGGTTGAGGCATGAGGCTGCCAGTACGGATCGCGATGCCGATCAACCTGCCTGGGGTACGGTAAAACCGTACCATGGGTGACGCTAGGTTGAGCGCAGCGGGCTGCCAAGTACAGATTGCGATGACCATCAACCATGCGCTGCATGGAAACCGTTACAGGGTGCGGCGGGCTGGCAGGTGCGCGCCGATTCTGGTGGGGCGTCGCTGACATACAGCACGAGCCTGCCACGTAGTGTATGGCCAGGGAAACTCGCGGACATGGTCTAGCCCAGATAGACGCATAGATAAAAGATGTTTTAAGCCAGGCTTTAGAGGAAAAAGTTCATCGACGAGAAGAACGGAGTTGTTATGGCTTGAGCCTACGTGCGTAATATTATTCTTAGCCTTTCATATAGGGCGCAGCATGGGTCGATTTGAACCAAAGAGGCTCTAGGGAAGTGTTATCAAAAGGCCAGCAACGATCGCTTTAAAACAGCAGAGCCCTGACTTCGTGCGGATGCCAGCATGTACTTTCTATGCAGTGGCGACGGCGCGAGTGTGCGTGCAAGTGGAACACACGTTTGTGAACACCGAGGTGTCTCGGTGAACTCACCGATGGAAGGCGAAATGTGCGCCGTCGGTTCTTTGTCGCTGAGTGGGTTGAGCAGGTAGCAGTCGCTGTTTTGTTCCGGACTCCTCGCGAGCGCGGTTCTTGCGGCCGTGTCGAATGGAGTGGTGTCGAGTCCGTTCTGGAAAGCGCTGTCGCATGGCTCAGCGTAGGACTCAACTGGTAACTACCGGCCCACAGTCATCCAGCACTCTCTGCTTGTAATAGCAGTGGATGTAGGGATGGGCGTTGGTGGGACCGAGAAGCGGAGGAGAGAGGGAGAGTAAGGAGACAGGGAGAGAGTAGAAGGAGAGAGTATCCGGGGCAGGCGCGCGGACAGGGCTCGGGCAGAGAGGCATGGCCGCGGGCGCGGACAACGGCGGGAGAGAGGCGAACGACTGAAGAGGAGGAGAACGAGAAGAGAAAAGAGTGGCTCGCGGGTCGTGGAGAGAGAAAGGAGAGAGAGAGAGAGGAGAGTGAGGGGAGGAGCTGGAGAGAGAGAGGAGTTGAGAGAAGAGACGGAGCAGAGAACGTGACTGAGAAAGAGAGAAAGGCGACGAGACAGGAGAGAGAGAGAGAGAAGAGAGAGCAGGTGAGGAGGATGAGGGAGAGAGGGGTGAGAGACGGGAGAGACGAGCGAGACACGGGGAGAGAGAGACGAAGAGTGGGTGAAGGAACCGAGAGAGAAAGATGGAGAAGGGAGAGAAGGGCTGAGACGAGAGAGGGGAGCCGGTAGGATCTGCCGCGTATGACAGCATTGCGCATCTATGCAACGACGCGTCATCGAAGGCAAGTGCCTTGTAGTGGGCGATGGGGAGCATGATGCATGGAAGATTGTTTTTATACAATTATTCTGTAACAATCTTATTTAATTTTACTATGCACATGACACATTCGGAGTAGTCGTAAATGAAAGAAGAGCTGTAACAGAAGTTAGCCAACAAAGCTGATTAAAGTGATAGGAAGAATAAAGCAAGCAAAAATACAACCAACAGTATACACCAGAAAGAAATACCATCAGATTATTGTTACTTGCCCGACAAATTTGAGCTTCCACACGACGGGCCCGGCTGCAGGGGAGGAAGAGGATTTCCTGCCGACGAGACAGACGGCCATCTTGGAACGAAAGCTGACGAACAGCTGACTTGCATAGGCGCATCAGGGGTCCGCGGCTAACCTTTTACTCGAAGCCTCGGCTTCACCTGCCAACGCCACGAGACGACAGTGTCACCGGGTTTTATACGTACTATATAATACTATGGCTGTAGAACGGTGCGTGTAGCGTGGATTGATGGGCTGTGTATCTGGGTTTACTGTGCTATTGTTATTATCTGGTTAGAACTCGGTCGTTCTGGACAATCCCGACAGTTAATTTTATATAAAGTAGATAGGACGACGAGCATGTAGATAAAAACAGACAGGACGAAAGGAACGACAGGCAGACACGGCAAACAGCAAAGAGACAGAGCAGCAGATGCGATGGCGATAATGGAGGATGGTGATGGATGAATAGGATAGGATGAGATTAGTAGGACAGACTAGATGATAGATAGATGGATGAATAATGGCCACAGGATGGATGGATGGGCTCGATGGATAGATAGATAGACCATACATACAGACAGCAGGACAGGAAGAAGGATGAATTGCGGCAAGCCAGACACGACACAAACGACATAGGAAGGAGAGACGAGTGATGAGGAGAGGAGGAGAGAAGAGAGAGGCGGATAGAGAGGAGGGAGGAGAGGAAAAGACGAGAGAGAGCAGAAGAGAGATGCTGACGACAGACACACACACACACACATACAGACATGGGGGCATTACCTGGATTCTATTGAGCTCAATAACTGGTCCATGTTGCCTATCCCTCACCATGGTGGCCTGAACCACTTTCCTGAATGCTGCCTCCTACACCGATTACAACAAACACACACGCATTATCATCAAGAATGCACACTATACCTGAACAGATGAGAACAGAGGGTGATCTGTAATATAAGTGAGATCGGAAAGTCCAGCTGTGCTATGTAGGTCACAGAAAAAGGAGGTATAAAATGGTCGAGAGCCTCTTATCTGATCTCAATATGGCGGCGGGGACTTTCCGATACAGCTTATTGCTGAGTGAACGTACGTACGTACCTTGCCCGTGGACACGAGCAGACCGCGTAGGGTGTTGGTGCCAACCACCGTGTCATCTCCCTTCTCCCGGCATGACACACCGACCTCAAACATCGGTATAGACGGACAGAATAGGTCGGAGAATTGATACAGCAACACCAGTCTGCAGATACGGACACAGCACAGAATAATAACGGTAAGATAAGTATACGGTTACGATGCAGCCAAAACGAGAGCTAGGCATCAAACTGAAGTTAACACATCCAGATTGTAATATCTTCAAATAGCAATATTACATATTGAGGCTTTAAAACAGAGAAATAATAAAGCTATGAAGCAATTGTGGGAAACAGACATAACATGCACACACGCACGCACAGACCTAAGTCTTATGTCTGTGCGTGCGTGTGTGCATGTTAAGTGTGCTACATTTAAATAACTTTATTTATATTACATTATTTTATTATTAACTATGTAATTGTATTGTATTGTTTACATAAACAATTTTCATATCATGTTATATGTTATATATTATATTATGTTACATTAACTATAAATATATGTATCACATAATGTATTACTAGCTCTTGATATTAAGTATATACACGTCATGTCATAGTTTATTGTACCTATTACGCAGCACGGATACAGGTATGTGTTCCAGGTGAGCGTACTCCATGGGAACGGACGGCGGCAGACGTCCTGCATTCATCGGTTTGGCGGTCGACCACGCGAGGCTGTGAGCCGATCCACAAGCCACCTTATTGATCTTCTTGCCTGTAACATTAAATTGCGTCGCTCAAGTTAGTCATGATTGGTCACTGAGATCATGTCCTCATTACTTTGGCACATCTTACGTAAAATATCAGATAGCAATGTAAATTTTTAAACTGCCGTCATCCATTGTTGCGCTTGCCAACGTTGACTCATAGGAAGGTGCATGCACTAAATCGGGTTGCCATCCACACATCCAGTATTCCTATGTCACCAAGAACAGCAGCAGCAGCAGCGCAGCAGCGCCATGCGCCACTGCTGCCGCCGCGCCCCGCCCCCGCTCCTGCTGCGCCAACACCAGCAGCAGCTACAGCAGTTACAAGTACCTTGTAGTGCAGTTACGATGCGCGGTCGCTGGATGGTTCCATCACAACCCCCCCACCACCACCATCACCATCACACCCCCAGCAGCAGCGGACGCACTAGCAGCACCACCACCACCATGTCACACCACCACCACCACCAGCAGAAGCACGCAGCAGCGACACCCAGCAGCTAGCTACTGTTACCTACAGCAGCTTACTTGTCCTACTATATGTACACAGCTACCTTGTAGTGCCCGAGGTTTTAACGTATGCGTGGCGCTCCCCCGCCCCCGGATGGTTCCGTCACCACCACCACCCCCAGCAGCACCCCCCCCCACCAGCAGCAGCAGCAGCAGCCACACCACCCCCACCACACCCCCCAGCAGTAGTGAGCCAGCCCAAGCAGCAAGCACACACCACCCACCCCACCACCACCCCAACCAGCTAGCAGTACCAGCAGTAGCTAGCCAGCCAGTAGCTACATTACTACTATAGCTACAAGTACCTTGTAGTGCAGTGACGATGCGTGGTCGCTGGATGGCGTTTGTTGTTCCGTCACCCAGCTGTCCCTCGTCGTTGTCACCCCACGTGAACACCTCTCCCTGGTCGGTGGACACGATGCAGTGCAGGGTGGCAATGCTCACAACGTGCTTCCCTGTAGAGCCCGGTCGCTCCCTTCTCCGTCGATAATCACACTTCCGGCTCTCATTCCCTTCTCTTTATTGTTTTCGCTCAATCTTAATACATACAGCCCTTCTCTAATCATTATTCTTTCAAATCCTACGTTCTTAATCCATCATTGGTCTCATATGCAAAAACCTCAGATAAAAAACACATACCAAAAAATCTGAAGCGAACTCAACTATTCCTTTAATCCCAGACCTTCTTTACGCGGTCGACGCACGTGGTCATCGTGCCCATGCCCCAGCCTGTGGTAGTCTCCCTTACCCCTGTGAGAGCAAACATCGGTATTTATGCATTAATACTAGCTACTGAGCAGTGACAGAGTCTGTGGTAGTCTCCCTTACCCCTACACGACACGAGCATCGCGGGTATTTATACGTTAATACTAGCTACTGGCAGTGACAAGTCTGTGGTAGTTCGTTCCCTTACCCCCTTGAGAAGCAAACATCTGGTATTTATACATTAATACTTAGCTACTGAGCAGTGCACAGAGTCTCGTGGTAGTCTTCCCTTACCCTACACGACACCAGACATCTGGTATTTATACGTTTAATACTAGCCCTATCTGAGCAGTGACAGAGTCTGTGTAAGTTCCCCTTACCCCTAACGACACCCAGACATCTGTATTTATTACATTAATACTAGCTACTGAGCAGTGACAGAGTCTGTGGTAGTCTCCCTTACCCCTACACGACACCAGACATCGGTATTTATACGTTAATACTAGCTACTGAGCAGTGACAGAGTCTGTGGTAGTCTCCCTTACCCCTACACGACACCAGACATCGGTATTTATACGTTAATACTAGCTACTGAGCAGTGACAGAGTCTGTGGTAGTCTCCCTTACCCCTACACGACACCAGACATCGGTATTTATACGTTAATACTAGCTACTGAGCAGTGACAGAGTCTGTGGTAGCCTCCCTTACCCCTACACGACACCAGACATCGGTATTTATACATTAATACTAGCTACTGAGCAGTGACAGAGTCTGTGGTAGCCCCCCTTACCCCTACACGACACCAAACAATACGTATTGAGGTACGAAGGCAGCAAATACAAAGATTCCTTTCTATTTTTAACTATTTTTAACTCTTCCCTCATATTCCATTCTAGCGTAGCAGCACGTTACACGAGTGTTAGCAGCCCCCCCCCTACCATGGGTGCATGCTCTCCATGTACCCCCTCCATGCGTACGTACCACGTATAGACGCCCCACCACCCACCCACCGCGTGTACGTACCACGTGTAGACGCCCCACCACCCCACCCACCGCGTGTACGTACCACGTGTAGATGCCCCACCACCCACCCACCGTGTGTACGTACCACGTGTAGACGCTGCCACTGCGTGTGAGAGCCATGGAGAACTGCGAGCCACACTCCACCTTGCACACTGCCAGTCCCTGCAGAGCATCGTTCTTCACCGCCAACCGCGTCGCGCTCAGAGCATATATCTAGGATACTACTAATACAGATCTAAAATCTATGATAGGCTTTGCTATACTACTGGTAATACAGTAGTAAAGATACAGCTGTGTAACTTTAATGACTTCGCTATATTAACATGTTATCAAGGATATGCGTCGCGCGGCGCATAGTGGTGGTGGTGGGGGAGGGTGGGTGGTGGGGGAGGGGGAGGGGCTTTAATAGCAAAAGCAGTTCAGTCCTTTCTTAACAGTCAACAAATCCATGTTTACCCTCCTCTTGAGGGTCAAAAGGTTATCCGACACTTACTCTTCGCATGTCAGCGAAAGTACATTTCATGGTCCTTTCAATAAAGCCATAAAAATGGTAGGTCACCGCTGAAACAAAAAAGTTTTTTAATCGCTCCGTCAGACCATGTCCTCAGAAAATGTCTAAAATCTGCCGCTCTGCCCATTGACCTTTGACCTCCAATTTCGCAACAGTGATGGCTTTTCCTACCATGATGCTATACACCGACTATCACGGACCTAGGTCGAGCCCGTTTAGATTTGTGGCCGCAATTCTGCATTTCCTCCTATCCTTAAGTAAGGAGGGAATGTACCCTTCTTTTACACCTCTTGACCTTTGACTTTGACCCCAGCTTCAACATCCAGACTCGTTTTCGTATTACCCCCCCACGCCCCCATATCGTGACCGTACGTCGAGCGTTTAAGATTTGTGCCCAACTGTTGACGGACGGACGGACGGACGGACGAACGGACCGGACAATCATGCGATTCTACAAGCTGCATCTGACTATGTCAGATGAGCTAATAATAGTTAATTATAATATATCTATAATCATAATAAGAAAAGAATAATTATATATAATACGTGTGTGTTTGCATGGAAGTTACCGTTATCTATTCAGTCTGACTGAATAGTCATCAGTTAGCTTTGAAAAAGCCTCCTGGCATGAGGTGAAACGTAAGCGGTACGTTTCCAATCTCTACGGTTGAGTAACAATTAACCCTGTTATATATATTATTTTATTATTATTATTAAAACTCTACGAACCTGGTGAGCCACAGTACGAGCTGTTCATCCTGGTCCTGCTTGAACAGAGAGTGTTTCATGTCTGAGGTCGAGTGCTTCATAGGGACACATCTCCTTGATCTTCTTCCTCACCTGTTAGCGATGCAGATCATGACTAATTATAGACACTTTTCTCACCAAGATTCAACCGAAATTCTAACTGACGTGATATTCCAAGACACCCTTTCTGTAAATTGTGCCTCCTCCTCCTCCTCCTCCTCCTCCCCCTTCGGCTGTCCGTGAATGGTTCATTCCCATTATGGTGAACCTTACACAAGATTCGGAAAATTGGTAACATGGAAAAACAGTCGCACAGAAAAATTTGGTCATTGGAAATACCGAGGTTTACCATTTGGGACAAATTTTCCTGTGAAAAAACTGTTCATGTGACCAATTTCCTCATTTTCCTGGGACCAGTTTTCCTGTGACCAATTTATCAACCAAAATTTTTCCATATGATACATTTTCATGTAACAAATTTCCTGTGTGATCACGACCAATCTTCCCTGTGACAAATTTACCCTGTGACCTATCTACCTCCCTCCCACCCCCACCCACCCAAGCATCATCACACGTCACCTCGTAGCAGAACGTAGCAGGCATATCGTCACGTCTCTCCAGCGACTGGGACACGCGAGCGGCCATGCAGTATCGCCGGAACCACGCCCACTTATGTTGCTCCGCGCAGCACGCTAGCAGATCCAGGCCCAGGTCACACGCCAGCGCCACCAACACCTGAAACAACAGAGCATGCTTCACGAGATCAGAAACACCAGGACATCTCGATAGGGAACCGGGCAAACTATAGTAAATGCCGGCACGGAGACGTTTGGTCACAATCCAACGTAGTGGACGCATATTACCGACACACTTCATATTTAATATCTCTTATTCTAGGCAGGAATCAATGCGAATTTATGAGATGCATTTATATATGCGCTGATAATGCCAGTAACCGTTTACGCTATTATCTGCGATGAGTGCAAAGGTTCAATGGTCACAACCCTGGTCCCTACGTGGCGGGCGCATATTAATAACACACGACTCTCTCCCATTCTTCACAGGAACGTCTGCCAGCTTAATGAACGCATCTCTGCGCTGACAATTATTTGACAATTAATGGCCGTGGGCGGTGGCGTTACCTTGAAGAAGGGACTGTGTAATAGGTGCTTGCCTCCGCGCACGCAATCTGATCCTCATACTCATAC